TTGGTTTGTTGGCGCCAACAACTCGCCTTTCGCCAGAGTCGTGTCAGTGCAAACAGGGATCACCACGGGCAGGTACGGTTGGCTGGATTGGGAGAAGCTGTTTGAGACGCTTAGGCATTTCTCAATATTTAAATGAGACCCATCCCCGGGCATGGCATTCAAAGGGTTTAAAGGCCGTTTTCTTTGAGAAGGTGGGGAACAACGGGAGGGAGAAGGGTTACTGGAGAGAGGGGGGAGTGCTTTTTGTTGCGTTCTTTTTACAGGCTATCATCAAGCCACAGGAAAAAGAATGCCGTCATTTTGCCGATGTGACGCAAAATTCCAATTTTAAAGAATCGTTTGGATGCCACTGTTCCCCAGTGTTAGTTATAATTATTACCATCTCACAGAAGCAATGTGATTGTTTCGGCAATGCAAATTTGCGGGGTTCATATCCTAATAAATTATGTCTTAAGGAGTTTCTCACTCCATTAGTCTTTGAGCGAGCTCGGCTGGAAACCGTTGGTGTCATGCTGTCATTTATTGCTGACAGAGGCGTGTTTATGATGTCATAATGAATGAGAACTGGAGTTATTTGGGGGAGTTCTCTGCCTGGACTTCCTACTTCAGCCCTGTCAGATATGGATCTAAAATTTGAAGACCTTCCTTTTAGGTTAATGTCGTACAGTGTGGAAAGGGGTGTCAAACGTATGCAATGTTAATATTAATGCTGGTAGATTGCATAATTTCATATAGCATTTCTATAGTACTCTATCAAACACAAGTATAAGCTTTGGGCACTATACATTGATGACATAATTATTTTCGCTGTTTTCTTTTTTTTTTCTTCAGTTAACGGAAACAATGACAATGACAGCAAGAAATTCCCAGAGATCAAAGGTATTGACCCGAAGCTACTAAAGGTCATTGACGGAGTGACCTACTTTGCCTTCTCCGCCGCTGACCGCATCAGTCTCCGGAGCATCTTGGACAATGTCCGGAACTTCCAGGTGAGAGATGATGACGTGTTCGTGGCTGGCTTCCCCCGATCAGGCAACCATTGGGCGTTTGAGGTTGTGAATATGATTCTGCGAGGGAAACTGGAGTTTGCTGAGGTATCTTTCCACACCAGGATCCTGGAGTTAATGGACAGCTGCCCGAACGAGCGGCTGAAAGAAGTGGAGTCCCCCCGACAAATCACCAGCCACTCCAAACTGTCCGTCCTGCCCAAACAAATCGTGGAGAAAAAGGCAAAGGTTATTTTTTTGATTCGTAACCCGAAGGACGCCATGCTTTCGATGTTCCGGCTGTACTCAGTGTTCAAGAACGAACGTTTTCGGTACACTGGGACGTGGGAGGAGTTTTTAGAACTTCAGTTTCAGGAGAGGTTCATGCACGGAGGCTGGTTCGACCAAGTCTTGGACGTTGAGAGATTCATGAAAAACCACCCCGATGTGCCCGTGTACGTGCATTCTTTCGAGAAGATGAAGGAAAATCCTGTAGAAGCGACGCGAGCTCTGTGCAAGTTTTTAGGTCGGCCGGAAGATTTGGTGGAGGATATTGCCAATGTGACGCAGTTCCGGAATATGAAGGAGAAGCTAGACGCGGGAAAGCTGGGTAAAGTGAAAGACCAGGTTTTCCAACAAGGGAGTGAGGGAATCCTACAGAAGGGCGCCACCGGGGGCTGGAAGAACGCGTTCACCGTGGCCCAAAGCGAGGCTTTTGATCGTGTGTTTCAAGAGAAGATGGCGGGATCTGAACTGGCCAAACTCGTACTACCTTATATGAAATGAGAATAGAAGTATGGGAGAAAAGAGACTAAATAATATATAATCTACGTGATATCTATGTGGGTGTACTGGATGTATTTCTAGAGAGAGAGGAGGGGGAGTAGGAGGAGAGAGAGAGAGAGAGAGAGAGAGAGAGAGAGAGAGAGAGAGAGAGAGAGAA